CAAGCTGAGTGGCCTGCCTACCCTTGCGCTTATCCCATGGACGCACCTTGCCAGGGTCGTGGTGCTCCTCGTATGTATCCTAAATGATTAAGAATAAAATCCACGATATATACCTCTCTCGTACATTGCGTATAATAACTGGTGGTGGTGTCTTCAAAATATATGTAAACTACTCCTTTCGGCACCAAAACTGCCTGCAATGGCCTACACACTGTACCTGTCACAGGAAACGACTCTAGCATGTGAAAAACAGAATCTCTCTGCATTTTATACCGGTTGCAAAGCGAACAAACATGGCGGTTATGTTAAATCTCTAGTTTGAAAAGGTTTTTTTGCAGTGCGTTATGGATTATTAGATCTACTCGTTCAAAATTTATTTCGTTCGTGCCTTTAGCGACTACAAAAGCATACACTTAATATACGTTTTCAGAGCCAGCCCAACCCACCGCCGATTGCCCGCACCAATACGGCTTCTTCCAATCACCCAATGCTGACGCCATGCACTGTGGCTCATACCGTATGTGCGTGGAAGGCAAGGCGATCGAGATGCAATGCCCACCCGGTCTAGCTTTTAACTCTGACAACGTTCGTTGTGACTGGCCTGATCTCGTTCCTTCTTGCAATGCTGAACGTAAGTAATTAAAAGTTATTATTGATACAAATAAAGAAAAATTCCTTAGATCCGAATGGACACAAACCAGCTATTTTTTTTCGCCAAACCGGGGATATCGCTCTCTCAGCCTGAGCTGAGCGAGTCAACAGAACACATCGGAACGATTCAACAGACATAATGAATTTCTCTATTTGCTTGTTGCTTATTAAACTTTCCATTTGAACATTGTTTCCAGAACATTAACAACAGCAAGTGAAAGTTCCGAGTATTGTCACCGACAAATAATCCAGAGTTGCATTTTTTCTATTTTATTTGTAATTTAAATTTCAGAGTACCTTGGTTTTCAATGCCCGCCCGCACCTATTGACGACGATGGTAACCCAATGGATGTTGTGAATTACGCGTAAGTTTATAAAATAATATCAGTATTGTTTAAAATTCATCAATTTTTTTTTTAAATGCATTAAGCAAAATTAAATGCATTAAGCATTCGCTACAGTCAAAATATACAGAAAAATTTCATCTTCAAGGACTATTAATTTAACATCCTTTAAATCCTAAAACCAATATTGGCTCCGCGGTTATACGACTAAATCAGTGTAGCCATCGTCGTAAAAAGTCGTCAATCTATTGGCATCTTTTTCTCATTCTGTCATACCTACGAAACGTTACATTTGTCTCTCTTTTCATCCCCAGGTACAAAGGTAATTGCTACGCCTTCTACTCCTGCGAGCATGGACGTCCCCGTTTCTTAACCTGCGATCAAGGATTCGCCTTCGACTCCGTTAGAGGTCACTGTGTTAATGAGAAAGAGGTTCAATGTGCTGTGTCAATGGAACCCCATTGACACAGCACTAAAAGTGTTTATGTTGCAAGTTTAGTAATATATTTATTTATAAATAAATAAATTACACTAATACAATTTTGAATAATAATTTTGGAACTTTCCAAAACTACCTAAAAAAAATATTAAAACCTTTCTAATATGAATTGGTAAGTATACTTGTAATTAAGTAATAAAAAAACCCATTTCAACCGTTTAGTAATATCA